CTGCTGTGATCATTGTAGCCACTAGCACTTGTTGCCGCAAGAGTACTCTCTACGGTCTCACGGCTCCCATGTTCAGTCTTGATGCTTTAACTGTTGCTACTTCCCACCTGCCCCTGCTATTACTTTCCTTGTTCTGTCTATTGCTCTTAGCACACTCTTGGTTATCAAACTGCCTGAACTCTGTTAGGCTTTCCACTCCTCCCTTGCTCCATCTACTCCTGCCAGGATGTCTGATTTTGTTAAAAGTTGCCCCGAGCCTGCGTAGACAGCAGCAGGGCAACCAGAAGGCGCCCTGGGACGGAAAGGAGGATCGACTGCAGAGCTACTTGCGTTGAGAGCTGATTTGAGATGCCCCCTCTTTGCTGACTTTAAGCCCTCGAGCCCTAAACCCTAAACCCAAACCCTAAACCCCCCTACTCAGCTAGTCTTCCCTGCCGGCCTCCAACGAACTGCATTGCTCTCGGACGCCTTCCGCGGAGCCTGCGCGAGACGAAAGGCCAGGGTCCGACGAAGAGCACCGCAAGTCAAAAACAAGGATCCTGTTTATACCTTGACAGGCTTTTTAACGTTGGGCTCCGTCAGGCTGTCAAACCCAGAACCCTAAACCGTACCGAACCTTCCCCAAAACCCTGGCCCTCGAACGAAGAAAGCCATCGCGCGTGTGCCTGGTTTCAGGCTCGCTGCGGCTGCAAGCCCATGAGAAAAAGCCGAGAAAAAAGCGGGCATGCAGAGGTTTACCAAGTCCTTGCGCGCTCTGCGCAAAGCAAGACATCCTGCTGCCATCATCGGCTATCGCGCCAGTACACTGTAGCGGGTTCAACATCCCGGTTTAGGATTTTGGGGGCGACAAGGCCACAGCCAACACTCCTTTTTCCTCTTGGTCTCGCAGCGAAGATCCACGTTGGCATCCCATTTCGCCTGCTTGCAATCCTCTGCAGCTCCCCTGACCGGCTGGAAGAAAGCGGCTACTAATATTTGCTATACAATATATGATGTTTTTATATAATATAGTGTTCTGTATCGAGTATATAATACTACTGTAGCGACGAAGAGAAAGTTCAATCTCAACAGGGTGGTTGCCGTGTCAAGAATGAACAACCGTGTAAGTAGCAGAAAACACACTGTCCACCAGAAGCAAAAGCATTACCGAATCTGCAACAAAGCACAATAGCAACGTCAAGAGCAAGGCTAATGATCATGATCCTCGTCCTCATACTCATCATCCTCCTCCTCATCATCATCAACACTATGATCATCATCATCACAATCATCATGTCATCATCTTCATCTCCACCATGAACATCATCATAACAACAACGATAACACCAGTAGTAACGCTCCAATAGCCATATCTTTGGCGATAAACCAAGTACACCATGGGTTTATCCAGAACTATGACCGCCGCTACAGCTCCGCCATACGACGAATGCAGGACTAAAGCCAACAGCAGTAAGAAAGGCTACGCTTTCTTGGTGATAGCAAGAGGAATGAGGAAAAAGCATCAGAGTACCGAGAACCACGATAATCACGCAACATTGGTCCCCCCCCCTTCACTTGCATGAACAATTGAATGGAAGTACAACTGTAGCGGGCGACGACCACGACCGCCGCCATGTCACAACGACGAGAAGAACCCTGATGATGAATGGCGCTGGTTTCATCGGACGTACACAGCCGTCGCCACCGGAGTGCGGAGGAGTTGGCACCAAATTTAGCATGGGCGGAGCACATCAGGTGACCAACCATAGCCATGTCAGCGTTGGTTCACGCTAACTCATGGCATGCAGCGTGCAGTCATCGAGCCACTGGCAGTCGAGGAAAATTCAGTGGAACTACGGCGTGGCGTCAAAGCTACAAGAGAAAACAGATTCAGGAGCTGCCTTGCGTGTTTGAAGCAGGCTTGTGAGCGTGAGGATGCTGCACAACAGAGTGAACAGCGTATCTCGCAAAAAAAGAGTTGGCAGCTCCTGTGCTTGTGGTGCAAAGCTCCCCAAGGACTTCTGTCCAGCGAAAGCCACGAAAACTCAGCAAGGCTGGCAATTGTGCTTTACTGGCATCTGAAGCAGCGTACTTGGAGATATCAGCAGATGTGACGGCGCAATTGCCCCTGTCTGCGATTTGCGACAGTGGCAGCTGCTGCTAACGAAAACGCCCCAGAAACAGATATGTAAGCCTGTTTTAGCACTCAGCCAGCCGCCGTAGGCGGCATTTATTCGCCAGCAGGTTCGCCACCGCACTGACCTCTTCTCCCAACCAAAGGCAGTGTTCAGGACATACTGCCTCGACCTTAGGCATGCAAAAGTGCAACTGCCGCTGTTGAGCAGCTGCTATTTCCCTTCCCAACAACAACATCAAGCATCAACATCATCACGTTTGCTATCTTGCCAAGGCTACAGTTTCTTTTCGGCGATGACCATTGGCATCAGAAACCTGGCTGATCCATCATTGCTACCAGTGGTTTCCAAATTCATTTCACTTTGAATATCATGGTTACCAGTGCAATGATCACTGCTGTCAATGCAACAAACAGTCTGGCGATTCTTGCCACTTGTATCACGAGTTTGCGCAGCATCTTCGGCTGCAGCAAAAACAGATCTCATAACTCGCGATAGCAACCATCGCCATGGATATAGTTAGCATCAGCATTGTCCTCGGTGGTAGCACGATCCTCATCCTCGGCGTCATCATGATGACAACGCGCCACTACGGCCACCACCACAATCACCACCTCCAGCACCATCGCCGTTTACCATCGCCGTCACCAAGAGATTCATTGTCCAAGTAGCAACTTCTAGGTGCAAACGGGGGCAGTCAGACATGGAGTGCACTGATGCAACCACAGTTCAGCCAAGCTTCGCTTGTAGTGCGTCGTGCACGGCCACTTGTTCGTGTATCCGTGTTGTCGCTCTTCCAGCATGATAAAAACGCCTGGAGCTAACAATGACTCAAATAGGAGGAACTAACCGATGACCTCGCAATGCGAGTCCGAAGGTCAACACTCTGTGAGGCTTCGGATGCAAGGGTCTTGACGGGTGTACCGGCAGGCATTCGCCCGTGGAAGACTCGCACACCCTGTTGATGAAAGCCCAGCTACATCCGTTTGTCATTTGCCTATGAGGTTCCGCTGTGCCGGCACACCCACCAAACGGAAACGACCAAGAGACAATTGAATCGATTGCCAGAGTCATTTCCGTGCAACGGGAATGACCTGCAGGGAAACCAATCAGGCGCAACAACCTCGGAGCAAAGCAAAATCATTCTTCGCGTCGTTCTGAACTGAGCCGGACATGAGATCGGACAGGCAGTGACTGAGCCAGGGGCACTCTCTTCGGGTTGAGCCGGCTGAGGGCGAAGGTCAGGATTGGCCAGGTTGGCATGCAGTGCATCGTCTCGCGGACGGTCCACACTCGGGCTTGTCACACCACGTTGCGAGATTCAAGGCACAACTGCATGGTGACATGAAGCGGAAAGACAAAGTACTCAGTAAGTAATCTAAGAGCCCCTTATCCACTGACTGTATGCCAACAAGACCAATCAAGTGATCGGCTCCAGGAAGAAGCTTCCCCGATGCGTGAGCGACGGCCCGCGCCGTCAGTCCTGCTAGAGTCGTGATACTTCCGGAGCGAAGCTCCTTCCTGATAGCCACTGTACAACTTTCCAAGGTCCTACGAAGGGAGCCACTCCAGCTTGGCCGCGCTAGGCCCGCGAAGCGCGAGAGATGGCCCCGGTATTCGGTGCAGAATCACCATGCTCCCTGTGAGACACCCATGACTTTAACTGATCCGTTTCAAGATTGTGGGCCTACCAGATTATATCGACAGGAAGTGCTTCAACAGCGGGCAAGGCACGGCCTAGCCAACCATGCTTTGCCAGGAGGGCTTCGCCTTCCGGCACAACCACTTGCAGCGGCAGCAGCACATCTGAAATCATTCCGCTATCCGGCTGGCGCAAGAGAGGGGGTCTGCGATCATGGTCCACGGTCTGCCCCGAAAGGAATCGAGCTAGCCAACCTGATACCGTGACGGCCTGATCCAGACGTGCAGTCACATCGGAAATCCAGGAAGGATGTCCATCTAGGGTCAGCTGAAACGAACTGAAGAAATACGGATTTCTCGATGTGGCGAGTGGCCATGTGCACCCAAAGATTTGCGCACACGCAAGTGGCTAGGGAACTGAAGCTGCGTCAGGTCTGCTGACTTTGGCCAGGCAACTCAGTCTTAGCCGTGCGTCGCTACCAGTTCAAATCATTTCAAAGTGGAATATGGACAGCGTGCCTCAGCTAAGTGGGCACATGTGGGCACTATAGTCCGCAATGCCAACCGACTTCCCCAGTCGAGCCAGTCTCGGAAATGGTCTCTTCAATCTTTTGGATTTCCTCCGTAGAAGTTTGGAAGATGTCGGCATGCAGACTCCCCGTGCAAGGTGCAAGGCCAGGAGGCTTAACACAGCCCCTCTTACAGCCAATTCGGTATTTACACGCGTCTGGGCAGCACCTAGGCTGGGTGACATGGACACCTCCGAACCGACTCTCCACATCCCGACAGCTGTGGGAAAGGCAATGCCCAGTCGACGAAACTCGGCACTGCATCGCAGTGCGGATCCCGAGTCTCCTGGCAGGTCACTTTTCAGGCATGGCCTTGGTGATGATGATGCTTAAGGCCTAAGGCAGTAGGTAGGTGATGTCAGCCACCCCAATGACCACCATCACCACCACCACCACCACCACCACCATCACCGCCACCGCCATCACCATCATCACCATCACCATCGTCATCATCATCGCCTCTTCGACAGCGACACGAAGAGGAGAAAAACGAGATCTTCATCCGATGTTCTGGGTGAGCTTTGGATGTGCCATCTTTGAATGCCGCTACCCTCGGTCGTCCTTCGTTTGCGTTCCGCATCCCCACGAGCTACTCATATTGTGTAAGCCTCTGGCCTCGCAGGAGAACGACGAGGGTTATGGGATGTTCGGGGTATGTCAAGCTCAGGCGCACTTGTCAGCCGCATGCCATTCGGACAGAAGCACCGGCCTTAGGCAGAGGAGGCTGAGCCTGATCGAGATCGAGCACCCATGGCCTGTTGCGGCCTGGCGGACAGGCAAAAAAGCACTTCTTTTTTGTCTGCTTCCGGCCTCCGTCTCCAAGGCCCTGGCGGGATGCGTTTCACCCGAGCAGGGCTTGCCTTGTCCTCGTCCTGCTCGGCTCTTGTCGCTTTGCTGGTGCCCGAGTCGAGGAGAGAACAAAAAATGGAGAGGGACAGACAACCCGCCCGCTGTGTGGCAAAGAGTACAGCAAAGAGTCCTCGGAATCGCCCACTTCTGTGCTGGTGTCTGAACCTGTTGCCATCTAGGCATGTCGTGACTGTCACCAAGGTAACACAGTGTAATTACCGCACTTGTCCGCTGACAGTTGCGAGAAGAACAACAAGCAGACAGGAGTCCAGCTTGCACTCAGGCTGCTGCCAAAGGCAAGCTTGGTCGTATTTCGGGTGCGGGTGTTTCCGGAGACTGCTTGTTCTTCTTCAACCTGACGGCAGGCGGCCACAAGTGCGAGCCTTTGAAACTCTCACCGACGACACCGGATCTACGAGGAGGGTGTCGTGCCTTCGGCATGTAGCCCAAGAGCGGCATGAAAATAGGAGCCTCGGACATCATGTATCGCGTGACCGGTCTGTTGACGGCATGGCAAGATTGCTGCTCCGATACGCATCCCTGCGGCCCCTACCTCGGCAGAGAACTCATAGGGTGCCTGCGCCAGTTACATTCTCAAACAATTTGGGCAGCTGAAACCAAGCACACCCAAGCATGCCGGAGAGGCCACGGAGCTCGGTTGAAAGGCAGGGGCTTCCGCAGACATCTTTTCAGATTTGCACGCTCTGAAAGCCCAGGGTCCGGAAGCCTTCGGAAAAGATTTAGATCTCAGCACGCGCATCCCATTATGGACTTCCGAACTTTTGGTGGCCCTTGGGATCACTGGGTCGCGGTCGTTGGAGGCCGAGGCAAGAGCTTTCTTCTTCAGATGCCTCGGCTTAGCGGGACAGGCCAGCAACATGAGCGTTACATGACGAAGGGATGGCCACTTCCGTGCACCCAACCAACATGGCAAGCATAGGGCCTGCCTAAGAAATTTTGGAATTTTGGTAAAGTCTCTGAGGACATAGATTATACTTCAGATGGAATGACATGCAGCAGCCCCGAGACTGCTCGGGGCGCCGGCTTGCTTGGCTTTGTCTCCCTTGGAGGGACGAGCTCAGCAGTGACCTGAATCAAGCAACACATACTATGTACAAATGCATGCATGCATGCATGCATGCATGCATACGTACATACGAACTACCATTCCATACCATACCATGCCGTACCAGTACCATCTCATCCCATGTCTTGCCATGCCTTGCCATGCCATGCCTTGCCATGCCATGCCCTGCCATGGCATCCACTACGCTACCCCACGCTACGCAAAAATACATTACATGCAGCAGAAGATATGGTCTCCGAAGCATGTTAGGACAGCTTTTTTCAGGCGCCGTGCTTGCAACTTCATGGACCACAAGCCCCGTGAAACGCACACGCAAGGATAAGCTCCATGCAACGGCACCGGACTTGTTGTCCCACTGGCACCCAGAGAAATGCGCGACCTCGGCGATCATGCGACCATGTCTACAGACCTTCACATTTCGCTTCAGGAACATGCTTTTTGCTTGGGGAATCAAAGCTACACTGAGATTCTTCGCTTGCATGTGCAGCCAGCTCCCATCAAGAAAGAGTTGTGCACATCTTTGGCGGCTCCATTCGTGCCAATTCTGCACCGAGGTCCCCACACACCTCTGTGCTGCCAGCTGGTCGGCAAACTTGGCCACAACCTGCCCAATAGCTCCACGATGCTGATGCCGCGAGCACAACGTGTAGGATTTGGATGATTTCAGGCATTTCTTGCTTCTGTCTCCAACACGATACTGCACCAGCCGACCTCCCCGGCTTTGCCAGCTTGAATGGTGAACTCCTTTAGGTATCCATCGAAGCCAGCTTGCTGGAAGACCTTCACGCCGCTTGGCAGGAGCTCCAAATCTCGAGTTTCGTAATCGCTGAGGTCCAGGCCACTTCCATCATCACCTGCCAGACGGGCCAATCCAGGCTTGTCGCTTCGATTCCCAGAGCGATAAGGGACGGGATGTCGCAAAAGACGATGAGGCCTTCGTCAGAATCTTCACTGGCAAGTTGTGGATCACCACCTGCCACTCACCGGCCTCAGGTGACGAGCAAATCTTCACGATTGCTCTTGAAAGAAAGGAGAGGAAGTTCCCGTAAACACTCCCTGAAACTCACATAGGACTGTCCCGAATATGCAGAGCTTCTTGGGACTTGGGACAACGCCGGCGTGCGCGCTGCTGGCGCTGCGGCGGCCACCTTCGCGAGTCCGGGTGGCGGCAACCTGAGCGCCCTTTTAGCCGTAAATCCGCAAGACTGGCCCTTCGACACTGGCAACTGCTGAGGCTAAGACACTTGTGGCGATTCCTTGAACGTTGCTACAGTCGCTTGTTGCATCTGCTACATCATTTGCTACGATGATTACTACTGCTACTACTACTACTACTACTGCTACTACCACTACTGCTACTACTACTACTACAACTACTACGACGACGACGACGACGACGACGACGACGAATACTACTACTACTACTACTACTACTACTACTAC